GAAATGTGAAAAAACGGCATTTCTTTAAAATAATGGCCCGATTATGCTGATTTTAGAACTCAACCTGCTTTTTATGAATATTCATGAGCTCTGTAAATATATAGCCAAAAAGTAAAACTGCCTTCCACTTATCGTGTTTACAATGAAAGTGCACGGCGCCGGTGACAGGGACAGTGACGGCGACGACAGACGCAGGTGATGGCAATATGTACAGACACATCTGTACATTTTTACTGTATTGTTTGAGAACAGTAAGTGACATGGTTTTTCTTAAATGGTCATTATGGGAGCAGTGCCCAAAATGGTTTTTTTTTTCAAATTTTGATACAATATTACATAATGTTTAACAGCATAATGACCATCAATTTTTAATAATAAAATATTAGTATTATGGATATTCAGAAAATGTGACTAGCACAGGTCTTCAGGCCCATGGAACTTCAAATTAAGTCACAACTTGAAAATGCCAAAATGTAATCAAGACAGCACTGTTCTGAAATGGTTTTTTTTTCCATTTTTAACATTTTTTTAAACATAAAACAAATCTAACAGGTTACTGCCATTTTATACGATCAACTAAGAAAATTGATGACATTGGAAAAATATCAATACAACAGTGTTAAATGTCCAATTTCCTCCATTCTGAGATTCTGAACATAGTGAATGATTGAATCTGACAAACTCCAATGATATGAGTTTATTTCCATTTTTGAAACTTTATTACGCTATACACTATAACAAGCTTACCATCATTTTTACATAATCAACTAATAATGTTGTAAAGATGCAGGAAATGTCAACCAAACACTTTTACATGTCTTATTAGTTAAATAATGAGAATGTTAACATGCCTAAGAATTGAATCTGAGGAAACGTGAAAAAAGACAGCACTGTTCTGTCATGGGTTTATTTCCATTTTTAACACTTTTTTAACATAAAACAAAATAAACAGTTTACTGCAATTTTTATATGATCAACTAAGAAAATTGATGAGATGGGAAAAATATCAATAGAACAGTGTTAAATGTCCAATTTCCTCCATTCTGAGATTCTGAACATAGTGGATGATTGAATCTGACAAACTGCAATGATATGAGTTTGATTCCATTTTTGACACTTTATTACACAATACACGATAACAAGTTTACCATCATTTTTACATAATCAACTAACAATGTTGTAAAGATGCAGGAAATGTCAAACAAACACTTTTACATATCTTATTACTTAAATAATAAGGCTATTAACATGCCTAAGAATTGAATCTGAGTAAATGTGAAAAAACAGCATAACTTCTAAAATAATGCCCCGATTATGCTGATTTTCAAACTCAACCTGCGTTTTAGTAAGATTGGCCATTCCTGTGAGTTTAATGACAATTGGGCTTTCTGTTTTTCTTATATTCTGTTTACAGTGTTGCATATATGCTGAAAAATGAAAAAACAGCATAACTACTAAAATAGTGGCCCGATTATGCCGATTTTCGAACTTGACCTGCGTTTTAGTAAGATTGATTACTCCTGTGAGTTTCATGACAATAGGCCTGATGGTTTTCCTTAAAATGTTGTACTGAACGTACTGAATCGTAGGAAGCTTTCACTCACTACCGTTCACTTACGCTCACTTACACAAATTACCTCTCACTCTCACGATCGATCCCAGATTCGAATGTCTAAAACTTCACGTAAGTGTGTGCGCCAGAAACCAAGTCAACCACAAGGATAAATCAACGTAACGCTGCTTTATTAAACAACTGACCATGATTTATAACCAGAACGATCTTTTATACAAGTTTTCTTATCATGACAATCTTTAGGTGGATTTTCTGCTGCAGGACCAACGTCCTATCAGCGCACAAAGTTAATGAATTCTATTTACGTAATTAGGTCATCTCTTGATCTTCGGACGCTCCCGACAATGTGTTTACAAGGTTGCATATATGCTGAAAAGTGAAAAAAACAGCATAACTTCCACTATAATGGCCCGATCATGCTGATTTTCGAACTTGACCTGCGTTTTATGAATATTCATCAGCTCTGTAAATATAAAACCAAAAAGCAAAACTGTGTTCCACTTATCATGTTTACGCTGGAAGTGCACGGCGCCAGCATCGGCGACGGCGACGGCAACGACAGACGCAGGTGATGGCAATATGTACAGACACATCTGTGTCTGTACATAAAAACAGATAGGTCAATTGTCATTAAACTCACAGGAATGGTCAATCTTACTAAAACGCAGGCTGAGTTCGAAAATCAGCATAACTGGGGCATTATTTTAGAAGTTATGTTGTTTTTTCACATTTCCTCAGATTTAATTCTTAGGCATGTTAACAGTCTCATTATTGAACTAATAAGATACGTAAAAGTGTTTGTTTGATATTTCCTGCATCTTTACAACATTGTTAGTTGATCATGTAAAAATTATGGTAAACTTGTTATAGTGTATTGTGTAATAAAGAAACATCATTGCAGTTTGTCAGATTCAATCATCCACTATGTTCAGAATCTCAGAATGGAGGAAATTGGACATTTAACATTATTCTATTGATACTTTTCCCATCTCATCAATTTTCTTAGTTGATCATATAAAAATGGCAGTAAACTGTTTATTTTGTTTTATGTTTAAAAAGTGTTAAAAATGGAAATAAACCCATGTCAGAGCAGTGCTGTCTTGTTTCACATTTCCTCAGATTCAATTCTTAGGCATGTTAACAGTCTCATTATTTAAAGGTACATACGAACCGAGCATCGGTGGAGCGTGGATTCCCAGTAACACATGTAAACCACTTCTACTAGATTCTTATATGACTCAAATAAATTTGACATGCCAAGGGATAAACTGAATAGATCACTCGATCATCCATAAAAGACCTTTAGACTGCTCCTTTCTTTAAATTTATGGTTGTAAATTTAACCTNATATCCATGATACTAATATTTCATTATTAAAAATTGATGGTCATTATGCTGTTAAACATTATGTAATATTGCATCAAATTTGAAGAAACCCCTATTTTGGGCACTGCTCCCATGATGACCATTTAAGTAAAATCATGTCACTCACTGTTCTCAAACTTACAGGAAAGAAAAGTGGTACTAAAATATAGCTTCAGTAGGCAATGCAGTCTGTTTGGTAAATTTTTCTGGCAATTAAACAGTTTTTTGTGAAAATTTAATTTTTCACTTATTGGCATTTTCAAGGTGTGACTTAGAAGCTCCATGGGCTTGAAGACCTTTGCTAGACATATCTTCTGAATATCCATGATACTAATATTTTATTATTAAAAATTGATGGTCATTATGCTGTTAAACATTATGTAATGTTGCATCAAAATAGAAGAAAACACAATATATATATATATCAAACTCAAAGATTAAAAGTTTGAATAGCAGCTTCATTGGAATTATATTTACCTCTGCCAAGGAGGTTATATTTTATGGACTGATTTTGCTGAAATTTTCAGGAACTGTCAGAAGTGGGCCAAAGAGGACAATAATCAATAATAATCATCAATTGCTGCCTTGGTAGAGGTCTGCACTCTCGGAGCTCTTTTCTAGTTCTGTTATATATTCCTTTATAATATTTTCTCAAACATTTGCATTTGTGACTTTTAACTATCATCCGCCTGAGACTCTGCACATTTTCTGTATTTCCACATATTAAGCAGTTGTATTGTTTTTTATGTCTTTAAACATTATGTTAATTATGTAATATTATTTTATGCACTGTCATCATTTTTCAAATATTGAGCCTTTCATCATGTGAATTTGAACTCTCATGGTCCTGAAACTGTAATCTTATTGAAGGGGTGGATTGAGACCATCTTCTGGGTCTTCCGGAAGACGGTCAGGTTATTAAGTTTATATTGACTGGTATCTATTTTTTTTTTTTTTTTTTGGAAGACCATAAAAATGGGGGATGGATCAGCATAGATACTTTGGAATACTGTCAGAAAATATCTCTGGGTTTGCTCCTGTTATTGACCATGGTATCTGTTGTGCATGATTAAAATTCAGTGTTGACTGACAGTGCTATTATAAGCATTATTTATTATTGCATCAAAATTGACAAAATGACCTATTTTGCATCTTTATTTTCTGTTTTTTGTCTGTACCTTTGACAGCTTTGCTGCCTTGTTTTTATTTATTAATTTAATTTTTAGTTTGGAC